ACAACATATATTGTTCAATCTTCCGAATTTCTCGCCTTTTAAAACTCAACCAAATTTCAACAGAATATACTGATGAATTCTAAAAATTCCTAAAATCAATTATCTTTTAATACAAAATAGTGGTAAACTTTGCATCTTCCTAAATTTTAGTTAGATTTGCATACAAAAAAGTGACGAACTTTACAACTTCGTGAATTTTATCAATTTCAATTTAATTTTAACCTCACTTAATATATCACATCAACCCTTTTTTCATCCTTTTTCTGTTTTTTAATTTTAAACTTTAAAAAAAATATGCTTACTTTTGCCTGACACATATATCCATTGTCTGTTTTACACGATCTTATTGCTCATGCTCTCTATGCTTACAACTTTCCATTTCTAATGCCTATAATTTCCTTTTTCTTTATACTTCTCTCTGCGTAAGTCTATGACGTGTGTTTATAAGTGTGGTTGATATCGTTGCTTGTCAACTCTTTTTTGTATTTCTCTAATGTCACTTTTTTGTATTATCTTATTTTTGTACGAATATAAACATGACACAACAAACTATTAATATAAAAAAAGCCACAGAGCCAGCAACGTTTGGAGATAAACAAAGGACTTTAGTATACAAGATTTTCTCTTTTGAAAACAAAGTATACGGGACACATGAAAGCAAAAAAAAGATAAAGAAACTCGAAAACAATTTTGTTATTGTTCTGTTTATACATGCTTATACACAGAAGATGTATGAAGCTTTGCAATCACTGAGTATACTCACAAGTTCTTGATTTCTGTTCGTCGAGATCTTTCGTAAATACAGAATCGATGATCGGTAAGACTTTGAATACATAGATTTCCCATTCTCAGACGTCTCTATCGAGCATTTGACTCATTCTTGTTCTCTATATTTTGCAAGGCTTAAATATTGGACTCATAGCCAGCTTGCCGCTATTTTTACTTGCTCATAGTATCACGTGGAGAGACCGAGGCACATTCAATTTTGCGTTTTATCCATTCTCATTTAAACTTCTTTGTGCACCATTGATCGATGCCCTCTACATTGAACGCTTTGGCAAACGGAAATCATGATTGGTACCTATTCAATTTAGTATGGCTGGAGTTTTATTGTTGCTATCGTTCTACGTCGAATCGTTTATAGCTAACCTATGCATTATGTTGTTCACTGTCCAGGCAAGCAAAAATCAGAGAGGACTGGCGACATGTCTAGTTCAAAGCGTCCGCAACAGCCGTCCTGTCTAGTTTAAAATACTGAATATGGCCGTCAGGACTGGTCAGTATTTCAAAAAGCGACATACTGGCAGGACTGGACCAGTCTAATATTTCCAAAATAAATGTCAGGACTAGTCTGAGATATTCTAAGGACTAGTCAAGTCTAGTCCCAAATATTTGATGTCGACGTCAGGACTAGTCAGTGTCTTATGAGAGAATATAATGACGGGACTGGACTAGTCTAATAATTTTGAAACATATGCCTGGATTAGTCTGGCATATTCTGAGGACTAGGCAAATCTAGTTCCAAATATTTGGTGTCGACATCAGGACTAGTCAGTGTCTTATGAGATAATATAATGACGAAACTATACTAGTCTACTCATTTTGAAATACATATCTGGACTAGTCTGAGAGATCCTGAGCACCAGTCAAGACTACCATGTTTTACTAAAAATGGTATGGTGTCTGAACCAGACTAGTCCAAAATTCAGTATGACACCTTACGTTGATAGTTGGTTATATCTTTAATATCCGCCAAACCTAGTCTAATTACAGAAACTTAACATAATGTTGAGTTTGAACTAGTTGCTCGTTTATGAAACCCCTCTGTCACCTTCAATTCAATACATCCTAGTGCGTATTCATAACCTAAGAATAACGAAGTTACCAACTTGCATTATGAAAAACACGACTGTTTAATCATCTAAGTTTCTACAATGGTGTATTTTTTTATCGATTATCAATTATCAAAATTTTTTTATTCATAAGGAAAATTTATTGAATTTGAAATGCTAAAAATCATTAACTTCAATTTGTCTTTGTGTTTAACTGTTTTTATCATATAGAACAGAAAAAAGAAAAATAATTATTATTGTCATATTTTCGTTATCGTAAGATCATTGTTCATTAAATTATAAATTGTATGAATTTTCGTCAACAACATTATTAATTTGATCAGTCATATGTATAAAGAAGAAAAAGTTTTTTTTTTGATTTAATTGTATATAGAACATCTGAGATTGATGATTCAATCGGTAGTTTATCTATTTAGTTCTTTAACTTTTTTTGTCGTATATTCAAGCGACACCTGACCGAATATTTACATACGTATATATCATTGGTTTCGCAATAGAGACAACGTTCTCTTTAACTCTCTTCTTCTTCATCTTCTTCTAAACATATATAAAGATTTTACAAAGATCTGTTTTGTCCGTGTGTTAATACGAAGAATGTTTAAAATAAAAAAAGCATGTGAATGAATTTTTCTAGGTACTGGACATATATTATTGAATACAAGGGTTCGTTTATTAGAACGATTGTGTTTGTTCGTTAGAGGATGTGAATAGGGTTTTTTGTTTAACTTTTTTTCTTTTAAGATTTCTAACGAACGTTATGTCTTGTGAAACACGATCTGAAAGGAGTGTTAAAGTGTATAGGATAGAAACTTTGAACCCACTCCTCCCCCCTCCCCACCGACCGTGACAGAGAACCTTCGGACCCGTCATAAACCACTACAGAGAAACTAGTTTTGAAGCATCCAATAAAAAGTAAACTACAAATCTATCGTGAAGAAATGGTACAAAACGATGTCCATTTAATTAGTAACAACAGGCCCATCATACTCCAGATTTTTAATCCCACAAGGGATTGCGCTAAGAGATTTTACGACTAAACCCATCAAACATTTTCCATCTGAAGCATCCAAAATTTCTCTTGAAAAAGATGCTTGTATATGTGAACCTGGTCATCGTATTACTGTTATAGAATTTCCTGACTTAAACGACAATAGTTAACAGATAAAAATCATTTTTATTATTAATAATAATAAACTGTTTCTTTAGAAAAAAACTTTTCAAGTCTAGGGTGGGTGTGGATGTCTTTCCTTCACCGACACCCACACCCACCCACACTCCCACACCCACATACCCACCCCCACCCATACCCACACCTTTGTTAAAGCCTTTTGCGTTTCATGTAAATAGATAGTCATAAACGTCGTTCTTATGTCCTATTTTTTAGTAACAAAATACCTTATGGAATGGGTTATTTATTTTTTATTTTGTTACGTGTAACAGCACAAGTGTAATACAATAAGCACGAATGACAAAAAGAAAACAAATCAAGATTCCGAAGGAACAGAATCTATTACAGTAACAGTCCCATCATCATACAAAGTAATCTTCATATTTGGCCGAAATCCACAATTCTCATTAGTGTATCCAAGTTGATTGCTCACTACTTTCGTAGAGTTCACAGTCAGATCAGTCGATCGATGTGTATGTCCATACATCCATAAACGAACAGGATCCACACAATCTGCATCATGATCATTGACGAATGCATCACCAACACCAGCTTCTTCATCATCTATTGAATTAGTGTCACGACGAGAAGGTGCATGATGAGTGATAATGACTACATGTTCTTGATTCTCGCGCGCTTTTTGAATCTCTTGTAATAACCAGGCATGTTGTTGAGCGTGCCACTTGTTGGTATCATCCACTGTGATTCGACGCGGTTTTTTGCTTTTGTTGTCTCCATCCGTCTCTTCAGCTCTGGTCCAAATTAGTCTATAATCGTTGAGACATCGACCGATTTTTCCAGCGGTTTCTCGAGGAACATGAGACCAGAGTGTAGTACCGAGTATACGTACATTATTAGGAAGAAGATAGCTTTTGTTTTGTAAGAAGTGAATACGAGGATCAAGATTGTCGAGTTCTTGAAGCTGTTGAAGACGATCTTCATATATTCCCCCATAGAAACTATGATTTCCCGCCACATAGAAGATATGTTCGAATCGTTTGCATTGAGCAAGTAAGAATGTTTGTAAAGATGGTACATTCGGACTTCCAATGTCTCCAGCAAGTATCAAGATTGGTGCTACAACTGAAAACTCCGGAATGATTACATTGTTGAATTCCAAATGCAGATCGCTCATAAGCATTGTTTCGAATATTGCTTTAGCCTCATGTCCTGAGGCTTTTCTGGCTGTTTCATCAACCATTTTGAGTTTGTTTGTTCGAATAGTTTCAGATCTGAAGAAAAGAGAACAAGAAATTTCTGTAATTGTTATCTCTTTTTTTGCACAATGTGATCAAAATAATAAACGTTAACTAGATTATAAATTGTAGATGTGACTTTATGTAATCATAATCACATAAATATCGACAATTTTATTATGATTTTCTAGGACGATGAATCGTGAGACTATATCGCAATGTTTCGTGCGATATTTGCGATGATCAAATCTGATTGCACTGCTCGTTCTAGGACTACGACTGAGTCTCGATGGTATACGCTCATATTCTATGATCGTACAAATAACAGTTTCTCATACATGAGAAGAAATATGATTTTATTCTCCTCTTCTAGCTTCCGTAAATCATAAAAAGTAGTAATGTTCTTTATTACAATAATACAGATTGTTCATTTTGATCTTGAGATCAATCTAGATAAAAAAAAAAGTTTGTTGCAAAATCACTGATTAATTGTAATAGTCCAAATAATCGTCGATTAGTTACAATCTATCAGAATATCTGAAAAATCGCTGAGATGATTAATCGTCAAAATTAGGTTGATTTTGACGATATGTGAAGTAACATATTGGTAACATGAATGCACACGTGCACCGGTAAGAGAACAGAAGAGAAAAAGTAATTGGAGGTGCCCGTGACGATAAGTATGCAAATACAAAAAAAGGAAGTACGAATTTCACTGATTACCAACAACTTTGCAATCTATTTTTATTTTCTTTGACTATTTATAGCAGTTTTATATACAACATTTTGATCCTTGTGTTAAAGGCTTACTCTATATTTTCGATATCTTGAGCAAAAAATTTAGGATAAAAACTAGATTAGAATCATTTAAAAATTGTTTAATCATCGATGAAAATCATTTGCTTTTAATCACTTTTTTAATCGATTAGAATCAATTGAAAATTGATGCAAAATAAAGAGTACCGATTGAAGATTTGCAAAATTTATTACGAAAAAGTAATTAAACTCAACTTTTTTTTCTCATTAACGTCGAATAGATTAGAATCGAAATCAATCAAAATAATACTTGAAGCTTTAGTTTCATTAAAATCTATAAAAAATTTTAAAAAAAATGAATAGATTGGACTCAAGAACGTACAGTGGATAGAAACCGATAAAACACGTTTTGAAAAAAAAGAGAGAAGAAAAAAATAATTTCTTTTATAATTAATTATTACTTTGTCAATGCATCAAAATAGGCCATTCGGAAGTTAATCTATCTAAACGAATGGCATTTAGAAGTGTATTTGTTAATGGGCTTTTTAGTGCTCGTAAAATATAAGTAAATCGAACCAATAAATAGTTAAAAAAATATTTGACAACTCCACATATTTTTTATATATTCGACTTTTCTTGAAAAAATAAATCATACCCTAAATAAAACTCGATAGTATCGTGATTTTAGGAGTACGATGGAGTCGCTTTAATTTTATATAAAGAAGGAGCTTATAGGCATTGGACACTGCTGGTAACCATTTAGAAAATTTTTCAAAAAATATCTGTTGTGGTCTGTAAGACAACCAGAATTTTTTGATGGAAAAAAGAATTAGACTTACATTCTACACAATTTACATCATTTAATGTTTCTAGAAGAAAACTAAGCATTGATCATATATTCAATCAAATTGATGATACCCTTTATCCATGATAGGGCCTAAAGAAACATAGTGCTGATTACAAGTAACTCTTTTATGAAGAATGAAAACAATTAAAACAAAGCACATAAAACTGTGAATAACGATAACATGAGTTACGAGCGACGATTTACAGAGTTGAATTACCTTTGATATGCGAGCAGAATGCATAAATCACCGATGAATCAGTAGCTTGAGATGCATAGAACAGAACAAAATTATACAAATATGGTGCTGTGGAAGAGAAGGCTCGAACACGATTGTAATTCTCGAAAAACAAACATGTTGCCATTCTCCCCATATATTCAATTAAATTTTCTAAATAGTTACTCATCAGAGAATATACACAATATTGTCTCTTCGAAACAATGAGAACGAATAAAGAAAATACAGCCACAATACATGTGATTTACACCAGACAAAAACCACTGATAAACCGTTAGTATAGATCCATTCTATATAATGTACGCTACACTGGCAGTAATACAAGCAAATATATAACTGGGAAAGTACGCGTAATAAACGAACATGAGTATCTTCGATGGTCTAAGCATGAAAATGATGGAGATTACCAATCTGCAATAATATTATCACATTACAATGACTTCCGTAATTTCATTTGCGTCATCATAAATATTCTTTCGTAAAAGGAAAAACTGAAATAGATCGACAAGACATATTTCATTTAAATTCGTTATCATCGTTTAAAAAACAGAACTTTTGTATTGTAATTTTACTTTTCATTATAGATGCTAACGTAATCAAAGTAGATTTCCTATTTAGAAAAGTGTATATCTAATAACTGATTGCAATAAAATCGGTGCTTGTATCTTTTGAAATAATCAACTTTAGCTTATTATTTCAAAAACTATGAACGAATTCATCTGCAAAGGTGTTGTTCAATAGATAAGATTATTATCTCAATATTATTGTTTTCTTTATATATTGGTGATCTACACTAAACAACGAACGAAATTTCTTAACCATGATCTCTAACTTTCAGAGACTATCTATGAAAGTGTTCTCTTAGAGTGACATACAACTCTTCGATAATTAGCAAATATCTATTGACTAGATGGCAATTGTTGTCTTGATTAAAGCACAAAATCTAATAGTAATACATTCGAGAATGACTTGAATTAAGTAGGATTTCAATTTTTTTGCGAATATATGCAATGATAACAAAACTTCACACCTTTTCTGTGTATCAACATGTATAAACAAAAACGATAAGAATATTGTTTTCGAGTTGTCTTATCTTATTCTTTCTTTTTCATGTATCTTTTATTCTAGTTAACTAAACTTTGTTGCTTATCTCATAAGTATAACTGACTCTGCTTCGGGTTGTGAATCAAGAGATGGTTGAATACATTTTCTAAAGATACTTCTAAGTCAATTCTTGAAAATTATGCAGTTTTTTTTGCAAGTCCACAGTTCAGCTAAATCAATAGTATAGCGTCTCTGTATTACAAATACTATCTTCAAGGTGTAAAGTCTCTAGTCAATATACACAGGACAAAAGAAAACCTGAGAAAAACCCACTGATAACATAAATTGATATGAAAACAAGTTAACAAAATCTATTACATACACCATGGTAAATTTTTTGCTTAATCGAATAATCTTTGATATCAGTAGACAATATTTGATGTGTAATGAAAAATACTTTTAGAACCACTTTTTTTCAAAAACTTGATACAAAACTAAAAAAAATTCAGATCAGATCGACCATTAATCATTACCGGGTTAGAACTCATGACGATAAACTTTTAAAAACTTTCACAAAAAAAAATCTTTTATTTCTCGTTTTTTCAAAATTTTATAACCTTTTCGTATCAAATGAAATTTCTGAAACGATTGTGAATTATTTGCATGAACTAAAATGAATCCGAAGTGATAAATCTTAACTAATGCAAATTTGAAATATAGAGTTTTCCCTATCGTTGCACACAAATCATCGTCTAAATTGATTAAATTTTTTTTTCTACTCTGCTTGAACAACAACATATATGTTTTAGTAGTTCTTTCATTTGGTTATTTTCTTGTTCGAAACTAATAAACTTTATCGAACATCATGAATATAACTCAAAATGAAATTGTTGCTCATCATTACAAGAGAATGTCGCTTCCAGCAAACTCGTGTAATGTAAATCTTTCTGTTCTATGTCGAGTCTATAACTCTCGAAAACTTCTTCAAACGATCAAATATTTCACTGGGTTGAGAATTGAAATTCATCTGAAAGAGATGTAAAAGTTACTACCGATGAAAAGTTTTTCTCAGTCGATGGACTGCTTTCATCGAGAAAAATCGTCCAAGACAATCAATTCATGCTAAACCAATTGTCAGAACGGTGTACGTGTGTGAATGTGTCTTCTCTTTAGTCACACTTCACATTCACAAAGTCCATTTTCTACATGTTTTGTCAAACGTGCGTTTATTTTTAATAAAAATAAAGATTCTTTCAGTTTTAAAACATAAAAAAAAACATTCTTGGATACCCTAAACATGAGAATATACTCATCTCTATAATGAGTTCGTTTTAAATGCTGCAGAAACACGAGAAATATGTATTTAAATGGCTTCAAACTCATAAGGAAATCTTTCATAATACTAAACCTCTTACAAATGAATGGTAAAGCTAGTGAGACAAGGTCATTTCTCTTACATTCAATCCAAAAACATCTAATTACAAATACATTTACTCATAACATCAATCAACAAAGTTAAGCCGTTTTATTTTCAAAAGCTCATCAAATAAACAACATATTTTATTTTACTTTGCAGTCTGAATTTAAAAAAAATTGAATCAAGGTCGAGTTTAAACGAACTTGAAATATAGAAGTCGGACTTGTTCAACTCATCTCTTCGAGACTGTACTCAGCAAAGTAACTAAAGTTTAAATCATTCGAATGATAACTGAAGCAATCAATATTACACTTCATAGAGCTAAATAAGAGTATTTTACTCCCAAATTACAAATAGTAAATTAATCTATCTTTCCAATCATTTCGTTAATCTTTTTTTCTTTTTGTCCGGTAGATTTATTTTTGTATCGGATATAATTGTCAGTCAAAGGACGACATTTATTCTTATTACTCTTGAGAAATGCTATCATAAATTTTTCATTCGAATCACATTTTAAGATATCTGATCTGTAATAAAAATCCGCAAAGAAAACTTTATTTATCGAAGGTTGAATGAATAAATGGTAAAATCTTGTATGATGTTGACGATGCATACAATAAAAGAAATAGAAGAAGCCAACATTGATGAATCTAGAAAAACAAAAATTCAAGGTCAATACTTTATTAATTGAAAAACTTATAAGAAT